TGCTCGTATGACTTCTTCTCTTGAAAAATTCTCTGGGTGCCATCACGTTTGGTGAGGAAATTCACTGGCACTGGATAAAATATTGACATTGGAAAAAAATATTAAGAAGACAGTTCAATGCATTACCTACAAGTAATTGTACATGCATATCCCATTTAAAAAAATCCTCTGTATCAGTGTTGTGTTTTGGGTTTTTTTGTTTTTAATATAATTATATGTATATATATATTTCTTCATCATGTTTATATTAGTGTTACATGTACATTTTACTCTTTACTGTACTTTAATAGCTGTTGGTGATTTTAATATATACTTTAATATAATAAATATTTACTTTTAGTGATTGATTAAATTTAATTTAAGTAAAACTAGAAATGTCACACTTTTATTATTTTTATCCATTGAATGTTGCAAATCATTCATATCACCAAAACACAAAGCTTTTATACTTCAATGTAATAGCACACGCACACACACAAATATGTATACATATAGAATATCCTATGAACCACCTGGCAAAACAAACCTACATCAAGACTGGTTTAATGCTTTCTCTACATGCTTTTATACTTAAAATCAATGATTAGGAACACATCTACTGGTAGATATTAATTTTACAGATATATTTTTTTAACTCTATGTTATGAGGTGAACCAGTCTTACAGTACATGTACATTCTCATATTTACATACCTTCCTGCACTTCATAGCTAGCCAGTCTTTTCAATATATCTTAACATAACATAATAGAAATTAAAATATAAATGAAAATGCTACATTTTCTCATGCCCTGATAAAATTATTCTTATTGAATAATTCCTTTTATTCACATCATACATGGAATTTCTAATAAAAAAGTTATGAAAAATGAATACCTGGGCCCAGTGCAGGTTCTCTCTTGGTGTTAGATTCATGTCTAGTTGTCCTATGTAATGGTTCCTTATGTTCTTTCATATAATCACTACGGTATATTGTATCTTTTGTTTTGGGAGGCACATTAAGGGGTTCATCTGAGGTCCTTGAGGGCCACCACATATTTTGTTCATCGTGTGTATGTGAGGTGTATACACTACAAATTGGTTCATTAAGAAGTCTGACGTCATGCCTCAAGAACCCGCAGCTGCGAGGATGGGGGTTGTGTACTCTAAAATCTGGCAAAGCCTTAGGTAATACTTGGGTATCCCTGCTGTATATATTTGGCAGAGATATTCCTTTTTTAAACCTCTCTGGTGATGGTGGGCGGTAGTCAGGAATTCCCGAATACCTCTCTCTACTTGTCTCAGCATCATTACTTATGACACGAAAAGAGTCTGGACTGCAAGAGAAAATAAAAATAACTGCAAAATGTGGTTTTAACTCAGGCTGTCCTTGGCAAATTAAGATAATCTTCCTTAAAGAACAGCTGAATTATTATGAATGCAAAAGGAATTATATAACTATTTCTTGCGCTATCTTATGTTTCTATTCGGTGATCAAATGCCATTTATTTATTCATTGTGTGGTACTGGCCTTTAACTTTGCCCGTTATCAGTTCTTTATCTCCCGAGATAAATCGATGACTCGAGCCAAATATTTTATAAATAATTGAGAGAATGGACATACTTATATCGACTAGGCACTCTTTTCTTTCGCTGTAAAGGTGGCATATACAACGTCATGGTGAATTATCTCTAAAGAGCGATCGCTATGAATAAATAATTAATTTCCTCTGTCTTTTGCCGCCATATTGTTGTAAAACAAACGTATCCTTAGTGACAGTGACTTCCTTAGCCTTATTTTCGCATTTACTCTTTTCTAAATAATTTCTAAATTATCAATGAAAAAAACCTTTGGGTGAAACTTGGGTTCCGCCTTAGTCTCATCTAAATTTATTATAATAAGAAGTAACAAAACATTCTAGCTTCAAAATATATCTATGACGTCACACCTGACAACAAAGTAACAACATGGCGGCGATGGTCAGGTTGCTGGAACAAACTGACCCCACCGTCGAGGAAGTTTATCGCCGAAAAAAGTAAGTAGTTTAACTTAACAATATTTAGTCTTAAAAAACGCGACGTGGTTACATTATACATAAATCATTTATCTTTTTTACAGTGAAGCAGAAGAAGCCAGGCAACGTGAGTACTTGTCATCCGTGAAAATACAGGCATGGTACCGTGGGGAAAGATCAAGGGCTTATATCAGGTAGTAGACAGTCCAATTTTCCTTAGTACGTTGGATAGGATAAGAACATTTATTCAGGACACCAGGATAAATCTATTATTGATAAGTCCAGAATATAAAGAGCAATTTTAAAAACAGTAGGCCTAGATCCAGCACACTCTCTTGATTTATCTATATAGCTTGAGATAGCTAAACTGTTTATAGCTTTATAAAGCTATTCAATAGCATGCTTTATTTTTTATTTGAAAATGTTTTTATAAAAAAAAAGAAGTACATATGTCTATATAGTTCCAAAACTTTTAGAACTGATTTTCACATGCAATATTTTCAGAGAGCTAGTTCACAATTGAATACTAGTTATCATCACTGCACCAAAGCGTGACTTTTTGTGCATGCTGAGAGAATAACACATCTGAAATAAGTGCGATAAAATAGCTAAATCAAGCTATTCTGCACAATTGCATAAAAAACTTATAAGCTATATAGATAGCTAAATTGATAGATTGTGCTGGACCTGTTTAAAAGGGAAAAAAAACTTTTTCTATTACAATTATTTTAGACCTGGAAGTAATGTAAGTTTTATATTAATTTTATGTTTCTTATTTTAACATTTATGATACAGATTTGAGATACTTATTGAAATTGTATTCATTTCCATCAACTTAGCTAGCTGATATATGAGATTTTAAAAATTGGAAATGCATGTACATAATATTGCTTGACAGTACTAGCAAAATAATTATCAAGCAGTCTAAATTCATGTTTTGAGAAAAAATATCTATATCTATTTCCTTCAAAAGGCACCTAAACAAATGTGCAACAATCATCCAGAAGATGTGGAGAGGCTTTATAGGGCGAGGCCTTACCAGAATTCTCATTAAGGTTGGCATATTTATATGATATACTATATAATACATGTACCTTGCATATTAATACTGTGGTTTCATAAATACTCGTTGAGCACCAGTTTTCGAGGATTTTGTTGTTGAGCAGATCCACAAATTCAAATGTTCATTGAATTAGAAAATATAATATATTTATTTGTATAGGCAATGCTTTTGTCCACGAAATTACGTATCCTCAAAAATTTCTCTTTTACAAAATCGTAAAATTGAAGCCAACGAAAATTGATGAAACCTAGTATTAAGGTTTGTTATTGACTGTCTAGAGGAATTGATGGGAGCTCAATCTCATAGGTGATGAGACAAAGCCAAAATTAATATATATATGTATACAGTCACTAACAAACTTGAATGTTTGTTTTGTCATGGGCCAGTATGATTTTTGGATTGTTCAGATCTCCTTTGGTCACTGAGTACATAACTGAAAAGGGGTGTTACTCTAAATTTAATTGCAGTATTGCCAAATGGGTAATGGTATGAATATATTAATTGGCTTCTTTTAAAAACAAGAAATAATGCTAATTAACATATAAATTTAATTTTTGTAAATATAGATTATATAGCATCTTTTTATCAGCCTTGTTGCAATCTATTGTTTAAACTGTCTACAGAAATATAGATGGCAGGCATGTGGCAAGTGTATATAAATATCTTTTAAAAGTTAGCATCAGTTTAGTCTGAAGCAAAACAAACTTACATGTACTTTAATGTTATGCAAGCAGATCTCAAACTTTATATGTCCATATTAATTTGTCTCTCATTTTCAGAATAGTGTATTGATCATGAAAATAAACTACTACAACAGGAAAGCAACTTATGTAAGTAATTTGACTAAATACTATAGATTTCTTGCATTTACAGCAATAGTTCATTTCGTAGGGGCTAATGGTATAGTCAATAATTGTTTTGGTATATGGGAAAATAAATAATTTAGTATTTTTATTTCATTTCTGAACATTCAACACCTCATTTGTATCCCATGTATTATCTACACAACTGCATGTACTCTTTTCAAATCTATAAGTTGCTATGTTGCATTACTTAATACCAAGTTTTTTTATTTTGTTTTATAGATACAAAAAATGTGGAGAGGATTCTATGTTAGAAAATATGTATTTAACTACTACAGTCGAAAACGCTACTTGGAGGCACTGCAGATCAAAAATGAAATTGTGAGGTATTTATTTTTATTTTCAAAAGGACAAAACTATTTATAATGACTCAATTTAATTTTTGAAAATTCATGAGGACATTGATCTACAATACTTCACATCACATATATCATGAGAACCCATAGCAATTAATGATAAATTAATATGCAGGCAGTATAGGGATAATAAATTAGAATGTAATTATTTACCAATATTGCCGGATGATACTAGGTATGTGACAGTCATTGAATATTAGTGGTATATATAGATGGTTTCTCCTATCTTGATGAATCAGTAAACCTTTTTCAGGAGTGAACTTGAAGAATATTCAGAAATGCAGGAACAAGAACGTAGACGAAAGGCTGAAAAAGAACAGAAAGAAAGACGGGAGCAACTGGCTAGGAAGAACCATTACTTGATCAGTACAGAAGTTATACCTGGAGTATTCAACTCTCCGTTCTTACCGTAAGTAACAGAACTTCATACAGCTCTTCAATACAACTGTAAATATCATTGTTTTACATATGATCTCTGCAAGTGCAAATGAGAATGCTGAAATTTTTTCATAAATATGGGAATGAAACAACTCATTTGCTAAAATCACACTATTCTGCAAATCAAAGAAAATAAAAATAAATCAAAAGAGTTGTCCTTTTATCACAGATATCCTACAGACACTGAATATCTGCTGAGATCTGTGAGGCCACTCATGCATGAAAAGAAAAAGAAAACAGACAAGCCATTTGATCCAACGTGTAAGAGTTACGACTTGCCAAGACCCAGAGTGTTACCGCCATTATCAAGCAAACCTCAGGTAGAACAATGATTTACTTCATGAAAAATAACAAAACTGGAAAATTCCATTCACTTTTCTTACTTGTGATAATCTTTTACACCAGTAACCTCTATTTATCCATTCAGGGCCCCTTCCGTGACCCATCAGACGTGCAGCAGCAGAGATACAAACCATTCCAGCCTTCACTGAGAGTGGCCACCTCCTTCACCTCGCTCGAGGATGCTCGCCAGAAGATGAAGGACCAAGAGTGGGTCACCAGACTCAATGACAACATGTAGGTGGATCTCAAATACTGATAGTCAGACTTATATGACAACATGTAGGTGGATCTCAAATACTGATAGTCAGACTTATAATGACAACATGTGGGTCTATCCCCAGTATTGGTACAGTATTGGTAACAGTATGTAAATAATATGTATACAGTTAGGGGGGTTGTCATCTTTTTTTGAAATATAATATTGATAAATAATACTTGATTGTGAATCTTTATTTTTCATTATAATTTCATTGATTATCATGTTCATGTATTATTACCTACTATTGTATCTTGACCAATTATACAAGGAGAGGGTGTACATAGGCATTGCCTGTTGCCCAATCCTGATTGAATTACTCAATAAAATATGTTTAAAGTAAAGTATTGGTACAATATCTCAACAAATAGTCAAACTCAGTTTTTTAATGGAAATTTCACAAAAAATATTATTGTTTTTTTTTTAAGAAACATAAAATGTGTGTAATTTAATCTAGTACTGACTGCATGTCAAAGTTGTTTAAATTTTCCCAAGTGTAATTTCTGTGTTGGGATCAGTGTGTAGCAATAAGTTCAACATTCTGTCAAGATAAGATAAATTTTCATTTATTTATGTTTGGCTGCTTAGTGTTTAAACCTGATTCTAATGAATTCTGTTCCAAGAGTTTACCTAACAACTAGCTGCCACTATAGAAGACCAGTGTATAAAGTAGATTGCTCATTAATGACATTGTCTTTTATTTTTGTGTTTCAGCTTTGAGCCATTCAGTCGCCGGGATGTTAAGTATGATCCCTTACTCCACACCAGGTCGAGATACGGACATCTTCCCTACGGCTTCAGATACTTCAGAGAGGAGTTTCAGGATAAACACGTCAGTCCTCAGGTATTAATGTAGATCTTACATTTAACTATGTCCAATTATAAGTTTATTGATCAACCATTTCATAAATTACTACGCAAGTGTTTTTATAAATTATGGTACATGTACATGCATTTACATTTCTATATTCAGTACTCTCAATGGAGAGATGCTTGAATATTAGTTTTTATGTTAAATGGTCAATATGCACACTTTGAAAATCATTTGCCTGATCAAATTTTAAACATCACAGTGAGGTACCAAAGAGAAAATAAGCAAAATTATACCACAAATATAAATACTACAACAAGCTACTAGTATATTTAAAAAAATCGTTTGGCTGGCCTGATCTCCAAACTAGCTAAAAACTTTTTTAATCTACCCCCTGGAAGCAATATTTTATATGGCACATTCTGGAAAATAGATTTCATCTAACATACATTATTTAAAAGTTGGCACCATCACATTCACTTTAATAAATTATACTTGCACATTGAAAGTATGCATGCATTTATTCTCATGATCATCAAGAGATTCATATTACTTTTGTTAGATCTTTTATCCAATTAAAATATAATTAAATAATCTAACTTGATTGCATTTCAATATACATGTATGCACCATAGTTTTGTGGAATTTTCAAAGAGAAGGGGTGTAACTCTTGTCAATCATACTGAAGTCTAATTACCAAGGTACTTTATGAATCATATTTCATTATGAAAATATTATATATGAATATAATTTCTAGTTTTACAAATGGACACATTTTACTGACATTGTTTCTCTTGGTATTAATCTTCAGTTTTAAGTGTTAAAAAAAATTATTGTAAACTGGAGGTTCCAACATAAATATTGATTGATAATATATTGAATCCTTTTAATACAAGCTATTTTATTCCACCAGATTTAAAGGCACATTTCTAGATATAAAACTTGGCTGTGACTTTTTGATCAATGTGAAATCAGACATTCATTAATACAATAGCTATACATGTAGATCTTAATTTTTGGCTGAGGCATATACTATTTAATATTTTTCTTTTATCTCCCTTCTAACTTCTTGCTGTCTTGTTTTAGTCATTATAATAATATTGCAATTGCATTGAATTTAAATTAATATTTCTGAAACATTTTAATGCAGTAAATTAATATATCAAATCAACTAAAATCTTTCTCCTACAATTACTCCTAACTTATGAGGGGTTATAGGAACAGATTATGAGTTATACATGTACAATTATCAAAGTCAATTATTATAAAGGGAAATACATGTAATATTTAAAAATTGATTAAAATTATTCACTTTCTTTCCATGTGCAGTTTTTGCTAAAGCAGATCTATAATTAAAATATAATCCCCAATTAAGAAAAGGGATGACTGTCATAAATTCAATAAATACATGTATAACAATGTTTTCTTGAAATAAGAACAAGAATGAATCTATGAGATATATTTACTTGAAGTGGTACCAAGCAAATTCAGGTAAAGGTGGTAGAATAACTACGTAACATGTGTCCAATCAATAGTAGACTTAACAGGTAGACCAATCAGCAGGTTACAGCTCATCACCTCATTATCCAATCAGACTACAGAGATCTTGATGTGAAGTTGTAACAAGCAGGGATGTTATCTCAGATACAGAAAAACTCAAATCAAATTTACATTTAACAAATATAATGTGGAAAAGAAAAATCAAATTTCCACTTGTTGAAGAAATTTTAGTTTACTTTATAAGCAAATATTTTTGAAATATAAGGTTTTTTAACTTTAGTTCAAAGGTTACATCCCTGTTGATCTAACAAAATGTTGAATTAGATTAAAGTTGATCATAACCAAGACTTGAATTTGCAGGAGAGAGAAAGGATAATACAATCAAATATAAGACTTGAACAACGAGAGAAGGTACTAACCTAATGTGCTGTAAATTAGTGGTGTGGGGCTCTTCTGAAGTTTTTGGTACATTAAAAATTGTGTGAAATTGCAACAGTAAAATCAGGCTTTAAACAATGGGTGCAAGTCAGTCGCATATAAAATTTAGTGAAGTTTAAACAAAAATTTCTTCAGTAAAGTTTTATGAATTGCTTGACTTTTTCCACTAGGTGTGCTTGCAATATTAAAATGGTGATGGTTAACTACAGTGGTATTTTGTTTTTATAAATTGATTATTATACATGTACAGTCCTTGATGTAAAATTCTGACTTACATATTTACACTTTACATGAAATGAAAAGGTTTGTATGCTCTTGATATAAAACTGATAGATATAATGTTCTTTTTACAATTTATTAGATCACTAGACACCGGTGACTAATAATTAGAATGTTATAGAATTATAGGATATTGCATATGTAGTTTCAAACATCAATATCTTGATTTCTGAACGGTCTATTAAATTTCAAGATAATGAAGTTTGACTGTACATATTTTTGCATAAAAGTAGGTCAAGCACTTTTATACTAGTAAACTTGATATTGTTCATAAGCCGTATGAGGAACTACAACATTTTCCCTTCTTTTTCTTTCAGTCTTTCAAGACGTTGGTACCACCGATCCCAATATTTGACAAGCTCAATGACACCTATTCCCAAGGTCAAGTGTTCTAAGGACTCAGACTGCCAACTAACACATGGCAATACAACTGAAATGTTATTTCCATTCAATTTAAGAGCAGAACTTCAAAATGACATACAGAAAATACATATAGTTTAAGTTCTGTATAAATATGAAATAAATTTTATTTCAGAATTGTAATTGTCAAAAAAAAACTGCATTTAATACTTGATTGTTTGCAGATTTTTTTGTTTGTTTTATGTTAATGTGGTGAATTTTCATCATATTTTGTCACTGTTGTTATTCTTTCATATTTTGAAATGTATATCCTCCATTGTAAATAAATCATGTCTCTGACAACAACTGTAATTCTCCAGGGATTTTCTTCAAATTGTAATAAACAAATCAAATCTAGTAGTTATAATATGGTAAAATACTTCTTCAAAAAGAGCACTTTAATAATTTACCCTGCAAAAATGCAGCTCATGTAGTAAAAACCCTAAGGAATATACAAGTACAATAACAATCCACACAATTCCACAACTCGGTGCTTATGACATTGATCAATTCGTCACGACACTTATTAACAACCAACAAATTAAATAGTAGTATTTTAAAAATTTATTCTATGGACGGATGCTGTAAAATCTTAAATATTCAATTACATATCACAACAAATGCAGGTACACTTAAGTTTACATCAGTACATGAAATGCTGTTCCCTAGGATGGTGCCAAGTTCAATTAATTAAATTGTTGTAAAGGCAAACAACATAATTCTTTAAAAAATCACTGACAAAGTGGAATGTACTTAGATCTTTAAACACTGCCCTATGAATTGTAGATGCCCAGGGACAAGTCTGTTGTGAGCGGTGCTAGGGTAGAACTTGATCCCCGAAGTCGTTTTCCTCAGTCTGCTCGGTCTGTGTAAACAGTTCTGATGTCACCTCCGTAAACAACCGATCCCAATCCCAAGGCCTGTCCTCCTAGTAGAGAGATAAAGAGATTTAATATATTATCAGGAATCTCTCACTAAATGTACTGGGAAAGTTTACAGAAACAAAAACAGAAATATTCTAATAAACGTGTAATGTAGAGAAATAAAAAACAAGAGACCCAAGGGCCTTGAATCGCTCTTCTGATAAATTATACAATCTATCCTAAGACCCAAGATGCATCAACTGACAAAGTTTGATGATTCTTAGCCATTAGGGCTGAAGATATTTAAATGTAACTATGAAATACTATAAGTAGGTCATGGTGACCTACTTTTTTGATTGAAATTTTCTGAGACACAAGATGCATTAATTGACAAAGATTGATGATTCTAAGCCAATAATCTCTCAAAAGTGGGTCACAGTGACCTACTTATTGGTCAACATTCTTCGAAAACCCAACGTGCATAAACTGACAAAATTTGACAATTCTAAGCCAATAAGTACCCTAGAATACTTAAATATAGCCATAAATGTCACAAGTAGGTCACTGTGACCTATATTTTGATCTTCTCCGAGAAGCATCAAATAACAAAGTTTGATGATTTTAAACCAATAAGTACCCGAAATACCTAAATATACCTAAATATATATCACTGTGACCTACTTTTTGGGTTCTCCGAAAACCCAAGATGATCTACTGACAAAGTTTGATGATTCTAAAATCAGTACCTGAGATATTCAAAAGTGGGTCACCGTATTTTGGTCAACATGCTCCGAAAACCTAAGATGCATCAAATGACAAAATTTGATGATTCTAAACCAATTAGTACCTGAGATACATAAAACTAGCCATAAAATGTCAAAAATAGGTCACTGTGACCTACTTTTTGTGCTCTTGCATCAAATGACAAAGTTTGATGATTCTAAGCCAATAAGTACCTGAGATACTAAAATATAGCCATAAAATGTCAAAAGTAGGTCACTGTGACCTTTTTGCAGGTTTCATTCTTGCATCAACTGACAAATTTTAATGATTCTAAGCCAATTAGTACCTGAGATACTTAATTCAGCCATAAAACAGAAAGTAGGTCACAGTGACCTACTTTTTGGTCTTTTCTGAAGACCAAAGATGCATCAACTGACAAAATTTGATGATCATAGGTCTAATAGTATTCAAAATATGCCCTTTAAACAATTTGAAAACAAATGCCTGCAAAGTTCAAAAAGTAGGTCACAGTGACCTACTTTTTGATAAATATGTTTTAAAGCCTCTAGATGCATCAACTTACAAGATTTGGTGATTCTAAACCTCTCGGTGTCTGAAATAATGGGATTAAATGTTTTAGAAAAGATTAGCCATAAAATTCAAACATAGGTAATCAGAGATTACAGAGCTCACCTCAACGAATGTTGTCTTTAAGTAAGGCAAAGTCACACAATTAACCAACAAAAAGTGTACATTCCAAAAATGAAAATATTTAAGCAATTTTGATCTTTTGAACAGACCTACATAAAAAATTTAAACTAGTGTTTCTTCATGAAAATGTAATTAAAATCCAGAATCTGAAGCAAATTTGAGAGTTTTCATCTCTTGATGCAACATTTGTGCAAGTTTGGTTTATACAATGTTATGTAAGCCTTATAGTTTTTTGGTATTAAAATAACTTTTACCTGGTCTATTATCTGAAAAATGCATGTCGAATTCAGCATCCGAAGCAAGTCCATTAGTTTGCATCCTAAGATTTATTGTCCATGCAAGTTTGCTCATTATAGGGCTCATAGTTAATTGGAATGAAACATGCATCAAAAACTAACATTTTTACTCATCCACAAAAAGAGGTCAGATTCAGCATCTGTAGCAAGCCTGGTAGTATGCATCCTTATATGTATTATCCATGCAAGTTTGGTCATTAAAGAATCATAGATACTTGGAAATGAATCATGCATTAACTTTAACCTATTCACTCAACCGGAAAATGTAGGTCAGATTCAGCATCCGAAGCAAGCCTTGTAGTATGCATCCTTAGATGTATCATCCATGCAAGTTTGGTATTATAGTTACTTGGAAATGAAACCTGCACCAAAAACTTTAACCTGTTCACTCAACCAGAAAAGCAGGTCAGATTCAGCATCTGAAGCAAGCCCGATAGTATGCATCCTTAGATGTATCATCAATGCAAGTTTGGTCAACATAGGGCTTATAGTTACTTGGAAATGAAACCTGCACCAAAAACTTTAACCTGTTCACTCAACCGGAAAAGTAGGTCAGATTCAGCATCTGAAGCAAGCCCGATAGTATGCATCCTTAGACGTATCATCAATGCAAGTTTGGTCAACATAGGGCTTATAGTTACTTGGAAATGAAACCTGCACCAAAAACTTTAACCTGTTCACTCAACCGGAAAAGTAGGTCAGATTCAGCATCCGAAGCAAGACCAATAGTATGCATCCTTAGATGTATCATCCATGCAAGTTTGGTCAACATAGGTCTTATAGTTACTTGGAAACGAAACCTGCACCAAAAACTTTAACCTGTTCACTCAACCGGAAAATGTAGGTCAGATTCAGCATCCGAAGCAAACCTGATAGTATGCATCCTTAGATGTATCATCCATGCAAGTTTGGTCAACATAGGGCTTATAGTTACTTGGAAATGAAACCTACACCAAAAACTGCACCAAAAATGTTTACCTGCTCCAAAAACATTAACCTGGTCATTCCTTTGCTGAAATTGCAGCATCTGAAACTTTGAATGGTGCAATGAAACACACTAGAACCATCCTCCATGCATGTCTTATCAATATAGGACATAGAAGTAGTTAAAAAGAAAACTGCTCCAAAAAACTTAACCTGGGACGCCAACGCCGACGCCGAGGGTATTACATAAGCTCCCCCAACTTCGTTGAGGTGAGCTAAAAAGTAGGTCACGATGTTGTTTGTGGACCCAAGATGCACCAACTGACAAAGTTTTATGATCATAGGCCTTAAAGTTTTTAAAATATGCCTCCAAATCAATTTGAAAACAAAAGCCCGTAAAATTTAAAAAGTAGGTCACCGTGACCTACTTTTGTATTAACATGATGTCAAGTCCTGAGATGCATCAACTTACAAGATTTGATGATCCTAGTCATTATGGTAAGCAAAATATCAACATTTTTAATAAGTGTAAATTTTGGTCAACTTTGAAGTGACCTTGAGACCACACCCTTTGCCCCAGGGTCATACCTTGAACAATTTTTAATCTTCAACATATCCTGACCCTTGTATGTAAGTTTGGTGAAAATCTGCCTGGTGGTTCTGGAGAAGAAGATTTTTTAGCAACCAGTACTTTTGGTTTTATTTTCGTGATTATCTCCCCTTCTTTAAGGGTCCCACCCCTAATTTTAGTACAAATGGTAGCCCTTGGGCCAAGGATACCCTGTGACAAATTTGACAATAATTGGCCAAGGGGTTCTTGAGTTATGGCCCATATTCTAAAAAGTTAACGCACACCGCACGACGCACACCGCACAAATGGCCATAGCATTAGCTCTTTGAGCCTTTGGCTCAGAAGAGCTAAAAAATGCCAAAAATCCCCTTTTCACAAAAATGGCAACCTTTGAGAGTTTGCCTAAAATTCATAATCTCTCAGCAAACTTTAAATGGTCACCCCATAACGATCTCATAAAGGTAAGGTATCTCTCAGAAGTCTTTCATAGAAAACAGAAGGGTTTGAACATCTAAACATAGATACTAGTATATTTGACAAAGACCTGCCTACTCTAACCAACTGTACTCTGTACTTTTCTACCATTCTGTCTAGTTTTGACTTTTTTGCAGGTTTCATTCTTGTAATGCAGAAAATTCAAGCATATTAACATAAAACAGAAACTAACTTATCTACTCAATACATATACATGTATTTACATGCATGATGATATGTTTAAGGTGTTAATGAATGAGAAAAACTACTCACTTCAAATAAATCAGCATCAGCTGACAATGACTTGGTCAGTAACTTAAGGTCAATCTCATTGTCCTGTGGGAGAATATTTAAAAACATTCAGTGCTGCATCACATGTTAAATATGAATTCTTATTTCATATTTAGAGAAGATTATTTGTCTTGCACAATTTCTTGTTTACAACTTAAAACTGTTAATATGAATATTCCCTTTTGCATGTTATATGATATTAAACAAGAGGCCCATGGGCCACATCGCTCACCTGAGAAGCTTTGACCACTCTGTTCTTTACCAGATTTCCCCCTTGTTATACATAATGCATCCCCACCCTACCCCACTGATCATAATTTAGACATTTTGAAATCTACACTACCCCATGATCCTTCCATGGGCACATATGTTTCAGCTTTTTTGGCCCAGTGGTTCCTGAGAATAAGATTTTCAAAGATTTTTCCCATATATTTCTATGTAAAACTTTGATTCCCTATAATGGCCCCGCCCTTCCCCCCGGGGTCATGATTCCTACAATTTAGAATTTACACTACCCCAGAATGCTTCCACATAAGCTTCACTTTTTCTGGCCCAGTGGTTCTTGAGAAGAATATTTTCAAAGATTTTTCCTATATATTTCTATATAAAACTTTGATTCACCATTGTGGCCCCGCCCTTCCCCCGGGGGTCATTATTTGAACAACTTAGAATCTACATTATACCAGGATGCTTCCACATAAGTTTCAGCTTTTCTGGCCCAGTGGTTCTTGAGAAGATTTTCAAAGATTTTTCTTATATATTTCTATGTAAAACTTTGATACCCTATTGTGGCCCCGCCCTTCCCCCGGGGGTCATGATTTGAACAATTTAGAATCTACACTATACCAGAATGCTTCCACATAAGTTTCAGCTTTTCTGGCCCAGTGGTTCTTGAGAAGAAGATTTTCAAAGATTTTTCCTATATATTTCTATGTAAAACTTTGATTCACCATTGTGGCCCCGCCCTTCCCCCGGGGGTCATTATTTGAACAACTTAGAATACATTATACCAGGATGCTTCCACATAAGTTTCAGCTTTTCTGGCCCAGTGGTTCTTGAGAAGATTTTCAAAGATTTTTCTTATATATTTCTATGTAAAACTTTGATACCCTATTGTGGCCCCGCCCTTCCCCCGGGGGTCATGATTTGAACAATTTAGAATCTACACTATACCAGAATGCTTCCACATAAGTTTCAGCTTTTCTGGCCCAGTGGTTCTTGAGAAGAAGATTTTCAAAGATTGTTCCTTTATATTTCTATATAAATCTTTGATTCCCCATTGTGGCCCCACCCTTCCCCTGGGGGTCATGATTTGAACAATTTAGAATCTTCACTACCCCAGGATGCTTCCACATAAGTTTCAGCTTTACTGGCCCAGTGGTTCTTGAGAAGAAGATTTTTCAATGACCCCACCCTACTTTTGTCTTTCCTTGATTATCTCCCCTTGCGAGGGGATATGTCTCTTCATTTTAACAATTTAAATTCCCCTTTACCCAAGGATGCTTTGTACCAAGTTTGGTCAAAATTGGCCCAGTGGTTCTTGAGAAGAAGTCGAAAATGTGAAAAGTTTACAGACGGACAGACAGACGGACAGACAGACAGACAGACGGACGGACAGACAGACGGACGGACGACGGACAAAATGTGATCAGAAAAGCTCACTTGAGCCTTCGGCTCAGGTGAGCTAAAAATGTACTGAAAAGCATCCTTGTACAAAAGATGCTTGCTCAAAGTGAATTTAGGCTTTTTAATGAAGTCTGAGTTTGTGACTAAATAGGACGACTGACCAGTGTTAGGAAGGCGGCCTGTTTTTGAAGGTCATGGTCAAGTTCCCGGTAAGTAGCCACTCTATTGACCGCCACACTGAAAAGCAATACAAAATCGCTATTTAAAAATAGAAATTATTTATGAAATAAGGTATCATTTTAAACTTTTATTGAAATGTTACTATTACTATCCCTCACTGATGAAAGGCCTTCTTTCCATGTACAGGTTTCAATTCACAGTCCTTCACAAGAATGTGATGGTGTCTCAGTGTGAACAAACTGATATTTACATTTATGGCTTTTAATTTTATATTATTTTGTAGATTTAAAACTATAGTACTCAACTATTTGACATAAATCAGTCACAAATGTAGATGTAATATTAGTTTGTTCCTGTTGTAAATATACAGCCTAGATCATTTTCATCCGTAAACATCTAATAATGGCCAAATCATACCAGCTTTTTCCTCTTTATACATAGCATCTAAACTTGAAAACCTACTTTGGTGCCATGGCAATCTTTGTTGTCATGTCTTCGTCCTGTTGTTCCTCTAGATCCGGAATCACGGGAATATCTAGAAAGATATTAAGGTAGGACCAAATAGATAGGTCAAATTTTTCCTCAAATTCAATTTTTCTGAAATTTTGATATTTTGTTCTTGGATACAAAATCTCTCTTTATACATGATATGAAAGAAATTCAACCGCACATTTTTTGCCCACATAGTCTGAAATATGGCCTATCAGACCCCTGTAAGAAGATTGCGAAATCAGACATTCGACTTGAGAATGAGCCTTATTTTAGAATTTTCAATTGATCTATTGCAAATTTGTGTAATACTTTCAATAAAGATAATCTTTTTGTTACTTTATATCAGTAAGTCACAATGATACTGGAAAATTTGTGTAAAATATTAAGTAAAATAGAACATACATTGTATCAGAAACTGAAATTTCACATGTAAATATCCGACAGTTTAAGTTTTCTTAAGAGAAAATGTATAATTCAAATTTTACAAAAAAATCAACAGAATGATTCAAATGGGTCCTAGAATAAAATGTGTAAAAATAAAGAAAATTGAACCGGTGGTTTAAGATATTTTGGCGATTAAAAAAAATTCAATGGCAAAAAAACTTAAAGATTCAGTAGATGACGTCACAATATTTGACCTTTGACCTCGTGATATGACCTTGACCTTTGTAGTACATGAAGAATAGCGACTCCTTATATATCTTTCCAAATATCACTCCTCTACTATTAATGGAACAAAAGTTGCACCGCATTTTATTACAGACTGTTACATGCTTGTTTATTGCACTTAGATAGCGTAAACACATTCCAAAATGTAAGCTCCCAAGTGACCAATATATAGGATTCTCTGATTTTTTCACGAAATATAATGCAAATATGCCAAAACTTATTATTTTTCTTTCAGGGATCATTCATTGTTGTCAATATAGTAAAATTATTCTTTTTTCCTCCAGTAATTTTAAAGCAATGGGTTAAAATAGAATCCACGGGTGTTTTGTCCTACCTTAATATTCACAATTACTCGTAATGTTTTCATACACTTAAGAGTATAACAATGTTTGCACTTTTATTAGGCCATTCAGTTAGAAAGTAAATATCCACCTGCATCGGAGTCTTCATCTTTATCAGGTGAATGGGGTCTCAACCTCTCACTACAAAATTACACACATGTAATCAACGATTAGTTCCAATGGACAAAATTTATATTTTGTTCATTCATCTTACTTTTTGAAAAAAAGATATGTATTATATTATTACAGTTTTCATATTAACAAGTTTAACTTCAAAAACTGAGCTGTCAAAATGTTAGAAATACTGTATGCTGAAAAAATTCCATATGAATGCTAAATAACTAAAACATGCATTTCATGTAAGATATATTTCTATGGTGTACATGTTTATGATGCAATCTCATGGTTAAAACACTATGGAGATCTAAGTAAGACTAAGTGTTTCAATTCTCTGTCTTCTATAAGTGAGGAATGATATGTGGTCATAAAACTAGAGGTGTAAATCAATGAACACTAAGTGACATATACATTTATTTATTTATATTTTGTTCTTTTCCAATTTTCAAACACTCAGTTCTTTAGCAGACAGTAGATGTTCATTATTTAATTTCTGTGAAAAATCACTTTTAAGCTAACAATGGAATTAATATAACATAAAAGGGCTGTTTGGCTATACATATACATAATAGGAGTGTATGATGAAAATAATTTACAAGCATATATATTTTCTTCATATTTATTACTTAGATATTGCCTACATGATTCATTTACTTTATTCAATGGATTCAAGACTGGAATGTTATACACATTTATGCTCATGACAAATGATTCTGTGAAGCAAACAAATACTGAGTGAAGAATTGCTTTGTCACTTTTACAAGGGATCACTGCAATAGGATCACTCAGGATTTACCCAAACAAACGACTGTCAATGTCATCCAGAAAATCACTGTTCAAAAACAAACGGGATGGTAAAGTTCTATACATACATCAAGCAGTGCATTTCAATTAAAATCAAATGTGTGTACAAATTGAATTATGGCTAGCTATTGCATGCGGCATGATGCTGAAAATATCATTAACTTTCATGGTCAATGTTAAAAAAAATTTCTATAGTTCAATCTTTTAAATAAACTTTTCAAATATGACCAGTGCATGGATTAAAACTATCATTAACCAGTTTGCATGCAAATCTTAAATTATTGCAAAAAGTTCAGAACAAAAACTAAGATCAGAACGATGATAGAAAAATACATATATACATGTATTCCAGATGTGAAAAGAAAATTGCACTTTTTTCATATAAGAAATTTTACGTATGTATTTTATCAAGGTTTAGACATTACTTTACACCATGATTTAGACATTCTTTTACATTTTAGAACACTTTTAATTAAAACAAACTTACTCAACAAGGCATATTTTTGTAAGAAAAACAACATTTTACCCTTTAATATTTACAAAATATCAAACATTTCTAAATAATCATCTTAAAATTTAGATTCTGATCATACCAAGAGAGTGTTACAGATTTGAGTTTGAGAAGCAGGTTATAGCTGTCACAGACACAGGACAGATAAACAGAACCCAAGTCCTTAGAAATAACAGGTCTTGTCATCCCTTCAAATGATTCTTGAACACAGAAATTAAGACATCAAATCAAAAGTAGAAGACCCTTCAACAGAGTATGGTGATTATGTGTATTTAATTAACAAATCTTGATACAAAGAAGGGGGTGGGTAAACAGAAGCATTATATGGGTTATTGTAAATAATTAGCCAATCCCATCTATCCCATTTTTAATTTAGAGATAGATGAATACAAGTCTAATCTGTAAGATAACAGAGAAAGCTGGAAGCTGGTGAACTGCTCTCTGTAATGATATAGAGTAACCGCTGGGTGAGAGATGTTCTAACTGAGGCCTCCACTACAGGGGAGGGGTGCAAGATCAACAGAAAGAGAAATGTCTGTAATACATTGCAACATGCAGCTTACTTATTGCCACTGAAAGTAAAAAAGGAGAAAATTGTTTATCAACAGCCAGCTGGTAGCAAAAATGGAAGGTGGATACTTTTTCTGTAATTTTACGGGATATCATCATAAAGTTCAGTCTTAATATAAAGCAAGGATTTTTTTTTTAAGTAATTGCATTATAATTAAAATTACATGTACGTAATATAACCTAGCAAAAATGTGAGGCAGGTTTTTATGTAAATACTGTGTACAAACTTATCTTGTGTCTACAAATGTAAAATACAATAAAATATCTTATTCTTGCTGGTCAATGACAAGAAAAAAGTTATCATAGATTTATTTCAAAAACTACTCAGGATTCTAAATAGAATCATCACTAATTGCATGTCTTCTTGAAACAAACCAAAAACAATCTAGAGTAATTATGCAGATATGTTATATACATGTATACTAATGCTATCTATTCCTTAGCAACTCAGTAAGCAACTTGATTATAGATGTACTCACTCGTCAAAGTCAAATCCTTCTCCGAGTTTCCGACTAAAAAAACATAACAAAAACTTTTAAAAACAGAATGTAATCGTAAATTGAATATAATATAAAAATAACTACTTAATAAGATAGGATCAGTGTGTTTTTTCTCAGTGAAAAGTAACTCTAACAGAAGTAAACCTTTTTCTGGGATTCTCCTCTCCCCATCCAGAAACTCTATTCGGCTTTGGTGGAGGTCCACCCTGCAAATGGGAAAAATAATTTCTTTGAATAAAATAACTTTGACTTGACAATTATAGACAGCACAGTGAATGACACAAAGTGTCACTTCCACTAGGAGTGAAACATCTGGGCAATGAGAAAATTCAGACAATGCACACCGAGCCAATTAAATTATTTTTTTTTTGCAATAACCTCTGGACATCCAAATAGCTTCTCATCACACACTATATTCTTGCAGTTGCAAGTTCACCAAAAAAAAAAACAAACCCAAACCACTATAAAATAATACACTCTACAGTCTATAAAGTCTTTTGTAAGTGTATAGGCTATCAAGTTAAAAACACAAGTATCTAACTACACTCACCCTAATGGTCACACACAGTCTATGCGATAAATTTTTATCAACATGCCAGAAAAATGTTATTTTAACGAAATTTGACTGCAGAGCATCTTTGATTTAATTTAAACAATCAATGATACAATACAGCTTAAAACAGACTAATACAGTGATAACCTCATCTTCATTTCTTGGTTGAGAACGTGTTGGTTTTGGAGAATCTGCTGGGCTTTCAAAGGCAGGGGCATCAGGAGGGCTCCTTGGATTCGAAACACCTGCTCTACGACCTCGTTTAACATCCTGAAATTCCATGATATCCAAGACATTAATATTTCATATAGGATCATGATTATATGTATACTGTAACAACATTTGCTTGTTAACCTACTTGACTGTATGTTTATGCGTATTTGTAATTATTTGCACTGATGAGCTGCAAAGTTTTTATTCAATAAAGAATTGAACAGAACAGATATTTAAATGAAGTCTCACACACCCAAAACTATATAAGTTAAGGGGAAAATCATTTCTAGAAACAAAAATGGATTGAGCTATTCTTGGAAAATCTGCAGATATTTAAAGATATTTAGTGTCAAGTGCCAGTCTTATTAAAATTAGACCTTTCATCTCGTTCTTCGTAAATTTATTTGCCGCTCGTAAAAAAGTGACAAATAAAATTATGAAGACCAAGATGAAAGGTCTACATGTAATTACATTGTGTCAAGGGCAGGATTACATTTAAGTCATTTTGAAACAACTATACATACTGAAATTGCCCGATAATATTTGAAGATTAAAAATATTTGCAGGTTACTTACAAAGGACAAAGAGGGAAAAATGAGCATTATGACAACAATACATGTAGGAGATCACTCTTAGGAATGTGAAATTTGTCTATTAGTAATAGTATTACAGTCATTTTTACACAAAAAATTAAGCTGAGATTCCTCTGACTCTAACCTCTGTTTTTAATATTGTGACATGTGAAGGGGAGAATCAGAGCAGAGAACAATCAGGCCATATATATTGAAAAGTAGATATTCAGCGACACTAGAAATCAAATGGCGAGGAGGTGACCTATACTCCAAGTGATGCTTCATTTGTCAGTGATAGGGCGCATAGCATTCTTTAATGACAGTTTAGTTGTAGATGAATCATCCCTTTACCGATTTCTTGTGTCTCGGAAGTTAGATCCGCGAAATAGAAGTTATAAAAGGTATGCAGGTGTCGCTGAATTCCCACTTTTCAATATGGCCTCAGCTCTGACTAGCACATTTCACAATATAAAAGGCAGGGGTTAGAGTCAGGGGAATCTCAGGGGAACCTAGTTTTAACAAAATATGTGTGGTCATTATGCACAACACATAAGTCTTCTTTTAAAAACAGACTTTTGAAGTAAATTTATATGGATAGAGCCCCTGTTTGGGGCACAGGCACTTGTTTCAAACAGTATGCTAGTTTTCTACTAAATAATGACATTATTATTATATAGTAGAAAACTAGCGTACTGTTATGATATAGTAGAAAACTAGCGTACTGTATGAAACAAGCGTCTGTGGTCTGGGGTCCAAAATTACTCAGAATTTTATGCCAACATCTAGGCAATGAATCATTAATTTTTGAGTGATATAGTTTCATATCTGCAACGGTGTGTGCAGACAAATTGAATAACACGCGTTAGCGCGTTATGAAACTATATCACTCAAAAAATAATGATTCATTGCTTATATTTACATTTTTTAAACTTTTTACCGTAACTGCAAATGTGATTTCTATTAAAAACCTATGTATTATCCTTCGTGTAAGCTACATTTAATGGATCAGCCAACGTAATAGCTTCTGGTCAATTTGAACGATTTTTTGATTTTCGCTTGTGACATTGCACTTTCTCGGCGTTCAACGATTATGACGTCAAACTAAAATGCATGTTTTAACCTCTTGGCACCCTGTCTGTGTTATGGTGTTTTGAATGCAATAGATTTCCATTCATTTTATATACAAAAAATATATGTAATGTAAATACTTAAGGAATGTTTTTAAGTTATGTGTGAGTTATTGGTGTGTGAATCACACAGACCTGTCACGTAGGCATATTTCAAGAAGCGCGTGAGCGCTTCATGAAAAATACGCCTACATGCAAGTCTGTGTGATTCTCACACCAATAATTCACACTAAACTTAAAAACATTCCTTATATTTACATTTTACATGTCTGGAAGCAACTAAATTATACTCATTATTTGAACTTCTCGCTGCCCTTTATCGTTGCATTTTTACTAATGTCGCTGCAGCTCATTGTGCCGTCACATTAACACACGTTTCTCCGTGTATATTTCTACGCGTGAGTATCCACGGAAATGGTTTTCATATCAATTTCACAGATATCTTAGTAGAAAAACACAGGCAATGTAAATATTTTCTAAGAGATACAAACTAACAAAGTAATTTACCCTTGATGGTTTTGCAGCAGAATCGAAATCTAGTTCATCATCCATCGTCAAGAAAAGGTTTTATTATTTTCTTTACTCTGTAACTCAAAAACTTTGCTCTGACAGTATCAATTCAGTTAGTATTTTGTGTTACTAGCATGCATAAACCAAAAGAATGTTACCGGAAATTAGTATGTTTACATACCAAAAGAACCAACAATGGTTATATTTATTAAAATCCGAAATAGTCATGACAAATTTTTGTACCAGTTACATTGCAAATCCTTTTACTAAATTTGAATAAAAATCATAAACATAACAAATATTTTTTTCATGTACTTAGTATCAAAGGGGGGGGGGGACTGCTTCCCAACTTTTTTCAAACACAACTTTAGAAAAATGTTCATTGAAAGCCCCCCCAATCACCATCACACACACCATCACACTCCCTAACACATTTTTTTTTACTTGTCGAGTTTTTTTTTTTTTGTGGGGGGGGTAAGAATTTTTTCTAAGCCCCCACCCTTCCAAAATGATCCTACGTCACTGTCTTTTGAGAGAGAGAAAAAAAAACATGTAAAACTTAGGCGTCGGAACCGATGAGCTATAGGTAGGCGTACCCCCCCCCCCCCCTCCTTCCACTTTTTGCAGATAGATTATATATAGGTATATAAAATTGGACCTTTTCCCCAAACTTTTTCATTTATCACCCCTCTCCTTCAATTTGCTTCAGACACCTATGTTTATATTATTGTATATAATTAGGGGCTATTGCTAACTTATTCTTTTGCTCGTAAATGTCCTATGATTAATAAATTGTTTTCAATCAATGACCACAGACGAGTGCTTTACAATTAACAATTGAAAAATAAAATGTCAATCAATCTAAAGCGACCACGGGATATATTTCATATATTAGACGTGTAGTAGTAGGATTAAGGTGTTTAATTACTTACCCGCAAGATTAGGGGGTCGTTGTCACGGTGACGCAAGACAATAGCGTGAGGTCACAGTAGGAACTATACATTATTTCCTTGCTATCGACAATTTATTTTTATCACATTTTTTTTTTTTTTGGAGATTCTGGATACCCAATATGTAATTCACTGGGAGGGAAAAATATATTACGTTTTCTGTTTCTTGTGCTGGTCTCACTTGTGCATTCTGTGCCTCAATTAAAAAATCAGGAGAAATTATGGAAACTCCCGCCGAAAGACGGATGAGGTTGTACGGACCCTCCAGGAATCTTAAGGTCCAGGAAATCCGAGAAAAACTGTCCAAAAGCTGTGTCCTTAAAGATGGAGAATATAACTTCACCGCTAACAAACTCAAAGATGGAATATTTGACACAAGTTACGGGCGGGACTTTCCTGTAAGTGTCTATTATATGACAGATTAATTCTTTTTTAAAGTCATTTTCAGCACTTTGTATGGTTAGTGATAAAATAGCAAAGTAAACTTTTAAAAATAAATCATCTTACTATATAAATTGAAATAAGCTGATAAACCACGAATGTAAAATAAATGTAAAATGCAAAAAAGTTATTAATCATAAACCGGAAAATTCTACTTGATTTTAGCTTAGAATTTAAAATCATGATAAATGTAGTTTTGTTTCTAAAAATGAAACATGTCTTTCAACGAGGCAAATTTATAAAATAGTGCTTGACTGTTTGGTAAATGTGAAAAAAATAATCCACGACAAATAATTTTTTTAATCAGTTTAAAATACATTCATTGAGTCGATCCAGGCTGAAAAAGGGATATAGATTAAATATATACAACGCGAAACACAATCTTATCAAAGAAAATCCTGCAGTTGGTCTGTGGTAGAAATAACACATACACAATGGACGTTTTTCCGGAACATTGGATATCATTCATTAATCACAGATCGTTTACTACAGCCAATGATAAAACTTACGGATAGCATTTGCAATATTGAATACACGTATTTTGAACACATGTAAAAAAAAGGGGGGGTAATAAAAGTTATAAATTAGAAATTAATTTTCTGTACATTATCTTGTGCAAATCTTTTGCCATGCTTTTATTAGTTTGATCAAAATAAAATTGAAAGCAAGTGATTAAACACTCCGTTGAAGACAAACACGTGATAGTTTACTTTGAGAAATGGGGTATTATTGAGGAAAAGTATCAACTTTGTGGAAAATAAATATTTAGGTGTCTTTTTTTGCAGCCAAAGAGCCACAACACGGTACTTTAAATAATGTGTACTATAATATTCAACATTTTGTTTTCGTCGGTTTTTGTATTTATTCAATATATTCATGCATGCTTTTGGGAATAGTTTCAGAAATTTTGTAGTGTTGCACATTGGGGGAAAGTGATATGAACGTGGACCGTTTTTACAATTGGCACACTTCACAATGTTTGAGACAGATTCTGCATAAGGGCATGCATGCACCTCTCTCACGCATAAAATGAACTAGTGCAAAATTTATTGTTTTGTTCAATAATTAATAAAAATTTCTTACTTTATTTTGAATTTTATTTTAATGTTGTACAACTTAACTAGCCTCTCCTCTTAATAATATACAATTTAAAAAAAAAAAAAAAAAAAAAAAAAAAAGCCGAGGGTGTTAAAAGTCAAACAATGGAGAGGGGTCCTTTTCTTAGCAGTTTATTATTTATTTTCGTCCAATATACTTGAATAAATATTCTAACATATATTTTTGTGACTATTAAATAGTGCATACCACTCGTAGCAAATGAAGCAAACATTATTTTTGTTTATTCCTCGTGTTTGACTCACAGGTGCTTGGGAACGAACCCCCCCCCCCCTTTCCCTGCATTCTACTCCAAGGTTTCTATGACATATTCACAAAGTATTACAACTTAAACACCCTAAATTTAAGCTATAGCTAGCCTCTTATAAAAATTCATACCTCTGATACTTAAACACTGTCCCGTCCCCAGGCACCTGTGGTTTGACCGTGAGTCTGTGCGTGTTAATAATTCAGTATCACTGTCATTATACAGGGTGCGTCTCTGGATCCAACCTCTCAACAGGAACAACAAGGACAGGTAAGTCGTACGTGTACAATATATGAGTACTGCTGACATGTACCAAATCATGAATTCACAGTATCCGTGAACAATACATCTATCACTGAATTACAGCTGGATCATCATTTCTATCTCGGAAATGACAGCGGGGGTCTGGTGCCAACGGAGACATACCAGCAGAGTACGACCAAGTCTGACTTCACCGAGCAGTCCTATAGTAAGGTAAACAGACAAACATCCAAACAGGGATTCCCACAATTAATACAGTAAAATAGAGATACAGAGAAATTAAGTATAAACATGAAGAACAAAACAGTTATTATTATAAAGTTAATATTAGACAGTTATGGACCAAACAAGATTAACCGAAGAGGCATACGAATTACTTATCTCCAAACAATATTATAATATGCAAAGAAAAACAAAACAAGACTCAGAAGAACGAAACACCATAAAAGTAGATGATAAATAATTGAACTTTTATGCCACAAATAAAGGTACAATACAGTACAGTACCTGTGTACCCAATACCTATATAGGTATAAGGGACTAAAGCACTGGAGGTAACGTAAAAACAACATTAGTGAACCTGAAACAATGAGCTTTAATTTCACACAAAATCATCCAATTTATGCGAACTCTGCCAGACAGTGTTTACGCAAAATATCTTGGAATTGTGCCGATTCTTTTTTTTTTAGACTAAAATTAGCTCAAAATGCGTAGGCAGTTAAAATATTCCATGCAGCGACAGTTGACAATTTGGTTACACTTTGCTCTCAAACGTTATAACTCCTATGGGCGTCCTAATAAAGTGTCCGTAGCACACACAAAAAGTGTCAATGTTACAACTTTTGACTTCAAAAACACATAGACAAGGAATAACAAGAAACATATCGACGCAAGCGTCAAAAATCGGCCGCAAACCAATTATTTCTTCCTTTCATAAAGTAATTCGAAACTGAAATTTGCGTGATCTGTTTTGAAAATTTCTTATAATTATATTTATCTGTTAAAATATCCTTGAAATGACATGAAATGCCTGCCCCATGAGAATATATGTAAGCAAACTGAACGATTGAAAATCAATGCTATTGTTTCTCATAAAAATATAAATGTATTTATGAGATTTGAGAGGTATACATTTATGTCATTCAGAGTTTTCTTTCTGTTAAGAGTCAGCTTTACACGCAGAATTTTGTCTGTCCATTCACAAAAACACATAGACAAGGAATAAAAACGCATCCTACATTTTGCTCTCAATACATATACATGCATATTCACACGCCATATATCATATGTCAAGTACATGTATATTCTAGATGAAACGCATTCTTTAAAAATAACAAAGAATTGCAAACAAAATATCAATTGCAGGACTATATTTATGGTTTGGGTATTAAAAAGCAAGGTGGATATAGGGATGGATTGCCCTGATTTTAAAATATTCACTTTGTTTTATTTTTAGCCCAAAAGTCTCCAAGATCCAGGTATCATAAACTGGCCGGTAAGTACAAACATCCTTGGTACAAGTCATAGATAAAAGCAGGAAAGGATAATTTACATATTAATACAGCTAATAATTTGTATAAATATTTTACATATAATTTTCAATTTTAACACTCATATTCATTTCATTTCTCTAAATCAAATTGAATCTTTCACACATTTTTTAGGATATGGCTCCTCGATATATGGTCAGCAGAAAAATGGCGGACTCGGAATACAAGTCTTCTTACATTCCAGATGTAAGTGTTTATTCATCGATCAGACACTGTCAATTCTATTCTCGCTGATGTAACTTCCAATTAAAATCCTACATTCAAGTAAAGAAACCGGTATGGAAGGATAAATTGTAAATTTAAAAGTTGGCGCCTAATTAAAGATAACTCTTATCTAAAAGTTAAATATATACATGTTTATAAATATAATGCATATTATATGATTGATAAACAAAAAAGGAAGTAAAATATCCTAATTAATTACAAAATCCTAATTAATTACAGAAAAAAGATAAACCTCATTAATTATAGATAAGAGATAATCCTAATTAATTACAGATAAGAGAAAATCCGTTGGCCCCATTGTACCCTCGGGTCAACACTTCTAAAATGAAACTTCC